CCCTTCATCCCCAAGTTCCTTCGCGGTGACCGAAAAAAAAAAACGCCGGGCAAATAAATATAGTCAGGCCCCGTATTCTTTGCTAAGGTATTGTGGCCGGCGCGACGCAGTAAAATACGATGCTTTTATTATCCCATGAGTTTTAGCATGGCGCAACGCGGCCAGAATAAACTCTCGAGACGGGGTAAACTGCGGGAGTAAAACCTTTGCGCCCAGGCTAAACCAGACGGGATCTTCGGATCTCGTATCTCCTATTTATCATACAAACTTTTCTTCATTTTTTACCCGACCTGACACCGGGGGTTACCCTTCCGGGCTGCGATCCGGCAGAAATGGCGATGGATTTGGCGCGATGAAACCGATCCCCCGATACAGACCAACACGAACATCGTACACTACATCGTGTCGCGTCGGTGAGTCAGAGCCGACAGAGAGAAAGAATTTTTTAGCCACGTGAAACGTCGTTGGGCAACTTTTTGCGATTGTCGCGATGCTAACACTGCGGCAAGGGAAGAACGGAAACGGGAAACGAGCAGGAAAACGTTGAAAAACACAGTCGGGGATGAGAAAGACGAGGTTAGCGCGAGATAGATCGCGCGAGGACGTGAAAACGAAAAAGAGAAAGATGGAGGAGACCAGGCAAAAAGGGCGACGATGGAAACTCGGCTCTCGTTCATAACTGGACTCGACTTGATTATGGTCGCCACGAGCGCATTGGCCGTTTTAGCTTTGGCGGTTGCATCGAACGAGGTGGCCGCTAATGGGCCGGATATGGGTGAAAAATTATCTCGGCTTAATGCTGGCGCTCGTTTTTTGTTATTAGCCAGGATTTTAAGGTTCCATAGAGAGTATCGTGGCGGGAGACGACAGTTCGTCCAAAAGAGAGAACGGTAGTGAGAAAAAAAAGGTAAGAGAAAGGGAAAGAAAAAAATTGATGAGATATATCAACGACCTCGCTGCTACATCTCGTTCGTAAGCTGACCGCATTGAAATTTATTCAGCGATTAAACGTTTGATCGCCGCACCAACCGGTACACGCAATTCCATTAGAACAGGCTGGACGGTTGATTTCTAACGCGAACCCCGGAATAAACTAATTCGTACGATTAGCCGGTAGCCGCGTTATTCCATTACACTGGGTCCAACTATTTATAACAAGAATCGGTGTGTATCGAACGACAAGAAATTCCGACTGTCTGCTATTTTCGTTAAATAATACATTAAATTCGAAATACGTGACTAAATGAAATAGATAAAAATACCGTAGAAAATAAAACGTAGAAATACGTTGCATTATAAGGTCATGATCGAAGTTTAAAGGGAAACAAACCGCTGATAGCTATCAGAAACGTTCGATATACCGCTCTTAATTGTAAAACATCTCCAAACGGCCAAATTCTTTCACAATGCCAGCATGATCGAAGCAATATATTACGAAATCACCCCCTAACTATTTCATGATTTATCAAACACCGCATACACTTAAGAGGGGTGGCAATTGATCGTATCCGAATCGAGCCGATTCGGCGATGCAACAAAGACCAGCCGCGCGGTTCTTACGCTCGAGAGCTTATCGTCGAAAATGCAGGCGAATAAATCGGCGCGTTATCGGCTGTACTGTCAATGGGTGGAGAGAAGTTATCGGCGGTGGACCGTTGCACCCCGTGAAACGTTCACGGAGGCGCGCTCGCGCGATAACGATGCAACAGATTCCCATCGATGACGCCAGAAGTACGTAATCGGGCTTGGTTCGGTGAGCACACCAACCTCGCAGCTGATCGACCCGCAACTACGATGTCCCGGAGATTACGGGATACTCAATTAAGGGATTCGGTATCATAGAATTCAAGAGCTTCGGATTAAGGACGCTTATCGCTAGAGTAACTTCAGATTATACACCGCCGTGTTTCGTCGTTGCATCCTGCGTGTCGAATTCTATCTATTCGCCCGCGACTCCTGAATAACATCGCGAGTTGTAGCGATTATTCGCACCAAGCAGCGCGCTATAGATTTTCTAATGGCTGGTGAAATTCCGGAGCGTCCAACGAACGTTGCTTTTCCATCGAAATACTGTAGAGACGAAAGAACAGGACGAGATACAGGAATACCGTGACTAGTGCAATCGATGCCAGATACTATCGCAAGGTAACTGACCTTCGATCATGAAAACGTATAATTTCAAAGCGACTGTAGAAAAACAAGTAACGCTAATGCAGCGGCATATGATTTGCGCCCTGCTACCACCGTTAGCGTAGGTAATTAGTAATATCTGATTAACTAAACTGGAATGGAATCGGATTAAATGAAATCGGAACGCAAATCGCGGGACCTCGTAAATCAGCTTATCCAGCTGCGACTTGTCCTTTATTCATTGTGTTTGAGCTTATTTGCAGTTACATTCTACATTTACCGTCTATTGCTCCCGTGCCGATAAATATCCTACCATTATCGTTGTCATTAAACAGCCTGTCGTACCCTACAGTTGATGATTAATTTTAAATCCCCATAAATCACCTATTTATATCGTTCGTTCGCGCCGTGACAAGCGTTCGATGACGCGTGTTATTTGATGAAAATTCACCAAGGCCGATGCCCTGGCCCTGTCTATATCGTTGTCCTAAATTCGAGATTCCAGCTAATCTATCGCTCGCCTTCGTATCATTTACGAAAGTAAGAAGAACAAGAGTAGAATACACGCGATCATCCGAATATGTTTACAACCGACGATGTAAACAGACTCGAGCAGCGAGACGCATATATCGAGATTCCTATCTAATGTTCGAATGTAACTATTTGAACGCGTTAAAATATACGTCGATATACCAAGGAACGTAAGGCCACGAAACAAGGTCGAGGTAAAGCAACGTGTAAAAAAAAAGTGACAGTGAACTCACCGATCATCGTAGACGAAACCCGCTTGCAGGGTGTTGCAGTAGAGGGCCGTGGCGACGAGGGCGCAGGCTACGGCTAGGATATCCATGTCACATCGTGGCGAGGACGGTGGCGGCGGCAGCGATGTCGACGGTAGCGGCGGTGACCTCTTAACTTGTTGCACGTCCGCGGGCCTTCCTCCTCCACCACCTCCACAGCCCCTCCTTTTCCACCTCCTGGCTC